TCACGACCACATCAAGATCATTGAGTGCAGGAATGTTTACATAGTCGACAGCTTGGAAGTACCTGTAACACGTAGTTGCGGTTTTATTGTGGTCTGCGACAGAAGATAATACCTGTAAGCGTGATATCATTATCACCGGAACGCATTTTGACATAGATCTACAAGTACAAGGCATCGTCAGTGCTATCATATACAGAGTTCTACCAGTACAAGACATAACAGCGTCAATCCTCTCTCACAAACAGATCTTCTTACTTATGGGGATTTTAAGTTCAATAGATGAGACATTATAAACGATTGAATACAAATCCTTACATGCAATATGTCAGCGTAATGCCTGCTTTATGGTGTTAACTAGCGTTGCCTAGTATCCATTGACATTTTGTATCCCGTAAGCTTGATTTACTTGCTGAAAGTAAACATATAAAGAAAGTACATGATCTTTTGTTGTTAATTTATTACAGAAGATACAAGTATTGACTTTTCACTAGTAAAAATGCTGACACCAACAAACGTAACTACAAACAGGTTGAAACAATGTTTGGTATGATTTCTAGAAAACGCATGAATTGTAATGTAGAAATGTATATAGACCCCATTTTGTTTTCAATCATTATTTATGTACTATACCCTTTTAAACTGGTTGCTAGCGATGAAATGATCATCTTCATAGCCAAGAGGTTCCTAAACCAGCAGCAATTTCTTCAATTTTTGAAACGACTTTCTCAGTGAAAGCACTACTTAATGACACTCTAAACTAGATTTAAAGAGGTGAACATAAATGTGTTATATTGGCAAATCACTTGGGATCTTTATCTATTATCTATAATTGCTATGCTCCTTTTCTAATTTTCCACGGAACCACCTTTGCCAATGATTTATAGAAAGAGAAAGGTTTGGCCGGGGGTGGGGTGGGGGGGGAGGGGGGGGGTAAATTTCACACAATCCAGCCGCTTTTTATTGGGTATAGCCACTATAAGAACATCACTTATATCTTTGAATCAGTGATCACTACGCTATGTAAGTTGGTACTGAGACTTTAATTAATCACGATCCTGTGTGGTGCTGTTAAGTCAGACCTCCTGGATAGTTAAGCATTTAAAGCATAGATAATAATAACAATAGCTAAATCTGACAGGCTTTTATTGACAAGGCAACCGACTTTGTACTGCCTTTTACAATCCAAACTCTCTTTGTATTATCCATCCATGTGCAAGGAGTTTAGAAACGCTACCCTTACCCCCAGCAGTGAAACATGAAAGACTCAAATAACAATAGAGCCATTTATTTCTAAAGTTAAGATATAAACCGTTATCGTTTCGACATTGTTAAACCTTAATAACAATTTGGTAATCATAGTGATTTTCGCATTTCTTAAGAAGTATCAAACTATTAATTTTAACAATATGGCGTTATCAATTTGTGGTTGACCGTTAGCTTTGTTTTGTCGGGTATCTTGACTTCGCGGGGAGCAACGCTATGTATTGTCGTTTACAAAGGTCACATATACTCATACTAAACTCGATATTTTTATCAATGTACTTATCAACCCGTAAATGAAATTCAACACAACAAAAGTACTTCTCTGCAGAATAAAAAAAACATCAAGTTAATATTTTGAATTTGAGGTAACACTTGAAGTTGGAGTTTCTGGATGTGAGATTTGCGCATGCGCTATGTTTACCTTTAGGTGACCCGACCTATGTTATTTTGGCCACCCTTATCGTTCTCAGTCACTTTGTCCTTATATAACTTGACACGACCACACTGGTAGAGCCGGGCGGTGTACCCCACTTTACAATGTTATGACTAGCTCGCTGATAGCACGATAACTGATTTCAACTGTGTACACAAACCTGCCAATATTCTCTATCGTCTCCAAATAAGAGGTTCAATACACATCTGATAAAAATTCCGGATACGAACTCAATTTTGTAGAATGCAATAAATCTGACCATATTCTCATCTTAGTATACACTGCATATAGTGCACGAGCTCATTTGAAAACTTCGTGGCGACTTTCATATATCCTATTTAATAATCATTGATGTCGTCATTTTGACGTCCCGTTTTTGTCACTAAATGTGACGTCACGATATCATGACGCCATGTCTAAATTATTATTTCTGATGTCACAATGGGTGTTATTTTACATAGCATATCAAGTTAGTTTGACTCCAATATTATCAAGATCTGCTTTAAGCTGACCCCAAACTTAATATCCAATCTACTCTACATTCCAGAGGAGTATTAGTGACGGGATACACCAAATTTATGTCTGATAGGCAGGTGTTAACTCCACTATACATGATAAAGGTGAAAACAGAAATATATCTTGTAAACATTTCATGTCCTTTTCACTGTTACAAACGCTTTGTGAGGTGTATCTGATTTTTTGCTTAAATCGGGCCTTATTCGTAGGGAATTAATTATAGATTTTATTTTACGAAAATCGAAATATAATTCGCAACCTTAAACATGAATCAGTGCCTTATGATATCCATATGACACAGACAAAGGGAGTTAAGTATTAAATTTAATATTTTATTCTGATACATAGGCTAATGTTGGGCCCGTTGACACAGCGGAAACCATCTACGTTTTATCTCTTCTCTACTCTATCGTGTAAGCGATGTCTTAGAATGCAGTTCTGGTAAGCTGGTTGTAATGAGGCTGGATGAGAGGACGACCATATACTGATGACTTGATATGATGTGATATGTTGTGGTTTTCAAGAAGTGCTCCTGGGTGACATTCGAACGCCCTCAGTCAAAGGGCCTTGTTGGATCCAAAGAGGTAAATCTATAATAAAATAAACCATCTTGGATACTAATTTGTTCTTCTTCATCAGAGACTAAAGAAAACTTTTCATAGTTTTCATCACCAAAACAAAAATCTTCTGAAATATTAATTCTATATTAACATTCTTTACGAACATTTATGCAACGTAAAGAATGATAGCAGATTCTGTCCTTAATTAAACAAGTCTCGTATACATTTTTTGCATGACATCAAGAGAACAACAAAGAAAGAGGTTTTGTCGTAGGTCTGGTCAAGAAACTAAAACATGTTATTTGTTAATAATGTATGTCGGTTTTGAGAAACGATGTAACTTGCAGCTAAAAATAAATTGTCAAGGACGATTTGCAACTACACTATGAAAAAAATAATACATGAGGAATACATAATCTATTGAAGTAGGGAAATAGTTTTAAATAAACAACACCGGTAGTTTTGATGGATTAATATAATTTTAGAGATGCTTACATCCAGAAAATTCGTTGCTAGAGATATCATCTCGTTTATGTTAATTGTATGCATGGACATTAAATACTGCAACACATTGAAACAACATAAAGAGACTGAAATGTTTACTTACATCAAAAGTTTTGTTCGTTTTGTAAAAGCTTTCGATGTAATAGTGTTCTGTTTCGCGATATAACCTGTGTGTTTGTTGTTCACCTTCATATTCTATTGGCGACAAATTTAAGGAATTTAAACGATAAACAAGTAGGATACAAACAAACCCCAAAGTACACGTACCAAACAAAATTCAGATTTTAAGACGAAAAAAGCAACAAGAACATAAATACCGTTAAATCAAAAGGAACGTCAGCATGATCCCCGGCAAAATCAAGAACACTGAAGACGCAAGGGCATTTCCTACAAAGTTGTGACTCTGGATGTTCGAAGGATCAATGTCGTGTTCTACAATACTTGGCACTGAACCCCTTAAAGGCAACGGGCAAGAGCGTGTCCTTCTATACTTGTGACACTAGGTGCATAGAAGGGACAGGATGTTGTATCGAAGGGTCAGTGTTTTTCTCCAATACTTGACATTGAATCTTCTTACAAGACGGCTACAATTTGTTCCACGAAGGGTAAATACCGTTTCCTATGTTACCTGTGACGATGGGTTCATAAAACAAAAGGATTAAGAGCGTTCCTACATTCTTTCTGACACTGAATGCCGAAAAGGGAAGGGACATTGCGTTCCATAAAATAGATGTGATGCTTGGTGCAGCGAAGGAGCAAGAGTATTTCCTACAATACAAGTGGAAAGGGTCGTGATGTCTCCCGCCAATTCAAGGAAAGTGTTTTTTTTTGTAACGAACGGTTCATTAGCGTCATGTTAAAGCAACAAAGCTACGTAAAACAAGGGATAAAATAAGAAATTAAACATTGTATCCGCATTGTTACGATGTGCAAATGGACACAACTGTATCAATGGCGTTTTGTTATGCAGATCAACGAATAATTGTACAACTCCCATGCTAACTCTGTCGTGATTTGAATGCTAATGTAATGTATAACGTTGATGAAATTTTCCACTATATCTGTATTACTTTAATACAACATTTTATATTATGATTGTCCTTGGAAAAAAGACCAGCATAGGAAGTGAAAATTCTTATCTCAATTCGTAAACTTCACAGTTCCATAGCATAAGTGTATTGTACTTGGTGACGTATATTGGGACTGACCTAAAGGAAAGACAAAAAAATATTGTGTCATATATGACGACAATCGCACTGTGACTAACTCCTGTTCAAATTCTTTTCAAAGACAAGACTTGTTAGTTTGAAGTGAATATTAAATTATTTTAGAAACGGCTTTCCAATTAACAGGTTACAAGTTATCTTTTTCTACAGACACTTGTGTGATGTGTACTATTGTGATATTATGTATACATATATCATGTTGTATATTTCACGGCAGTAGACAGGTTTTTTGTTGACATAAATTTATTCAAATGAAGCTAACAAGACATAACTTCAAAACCCAATAACATTTTTCACACTGGTCTACTTGAAACAGTTTCTCGGGCGTCTACGTTGTGTCGCCAAACATTTTACGCGCGAAAACCAAAGGTCATGACAACGAATGATAAGAGTTCCAATTAACATGATAACCTGAATTCCCGTTGGACTGATGTACGCTCGTGAGTTTCTTCTGATAGGACAAGAGCCTAACGTACCACGTGTTCCGAAGTTTTAAAAGTGCCGGTCTCTTTGACACAGTGCCCAGATCTCCTGAAGTCACCACACGCTAACCATGGACGCTCGACTGATCCTCATCTTGGCACTCACGTCATGCTGTCTCGCCGTACCCCAGAGACAGGTTAGTGTTAGTTAACAGATAACTACACTTAATTTAGGTTAATTATTTTAATATTGCATATTCAATTAGTGAAGTAACCGTGCATATTGTGTTGCATGTCCTATGCATCAAGCGCTCTTGTTTGTTGCAAAAGCAATATTTCATTATTAGATTTTTCTTCTGAAATATTTTGTATTAAATTTCACGATGTTTTATCCAATCGTGAACTTCCTATCATACTTTTATTTTTAACGATATTGTCTATTGCAAATCGGAATAACATGTTAGAATGCGTTTCTCCTACAACTACAGAATGTTTCAAATAACATGAATAAATATGTATGCTAAAACTAGTTTATTGATATACTTATATTTACTAAAGACATACAAGGAACATGTTTTTCTCAGCTGCATCATGTACAGTTTGTGAATAGATAGTCTTTACTTAGATTGATTTATTCGTTGACTTGCTTACATTATTTGTCGTTTATATGTTGATAAACTTTAGCATATTAATTTAATGATTACATATTAACAAGGAATAGTCAATTATTTGGAAAAGCTGAAATCTCTCATTGACGGGACCAATTATTCAAACCTTGATAGTTACTCTTCATATAGAGTAAGTGAATTGTGTCATCGGTGATGCTTGGATACCTTGCAATGTTAGAGTGTACATAATCTATGTCACCTTGATAAACAACTAGGTCGTTATAACTCGAGGAACGAGTCTAAATATGTTTCGGAGCAATTGAGATTAGCACCACTGATGAGTACTATTAGACAAAACAGCAATATGGTATGGTAAAAAAAATGTTTTACTTTTTTGGCTCTCTGCATCAACATACTACATTTTTAAGTGGTACTTACTTGAAAGTAGTCTTAGGCAGCTTTTTTACTGAGTATTCACCTTATTCCGTCAAAAGTTTCCTTCGCATATTTTTTTATCTTTTCAAACAAAACTTAATTTATTATAATTTTGTATAGTGTCTGTTCCATCCAATTAATATTTTCATCTCAGAAACTTTTTTATGGTAAGTTGAGGCAAGAAAAAATAATAATTTAAATTTAAAAACTTAATTTTCCTATGATAATAAGATCTGTTGTCAATTTTTTAATGGAAATGAAGCATTTCACCAATTTCACTATGCCACGCACCTGTAAGAACGGCATGAGTGCCCCAGACACAGTGACTGTCTGACATATCACTTGCCCCAGTCAATAACTCACTCGGCGACCAGATAACTTATCGGTGACCTTCAAAGTCGGAGAGCTATTTTTTTTATTTGATTATCAGGAGACAGAGCGTAGGTATCTAGAGCACGTATTTTACCCGGCACTGCTGACTCCGCATAAGTCGAGAGATGTTAAATAGATATGTTTGATTATCAAGAAATAAGAATTTGTTTCATATATCATTAATTCTTCTTCTGAAAGATAGTAGCATTCTTGGGGTAAAAACACCCTTTGGAATGCCGTATGTTTTCCTGGTATGAAGCAAATTCGATTGGACATCGTACCATTAAATAAAGTTGTATATTAAAAATCTCTAGTTGTGTAATATACTGATACTGGCGAAACTGCGATTTAAATTAGACTTATAGTTAAGTTCTCACGGAAACTGGGATTGTTGAATGACAAATAAATTTCATTAATTGAAAAATGAGAGTTTCAGCATAGTAGTCCCAGTCAAAGATAGAAAGATTTGTGTAGGCATTAAGTCGTCATAGAATACGTATTCTGACATAGATTTGTGTAGCCATTAATTCGTCATAAAATACGTATTCTGACATAGATTTGTGTAGGAATTAAGTCGTCATAGAATACGTATTCTGACATAGATTTGTGTAGCCATTAATTCGTCATAAAATACGTATTCTGACATAGATTTGTGTAGGAATTAAGTCGTCATAGAATACGTATTCTGACATAGATTTTTTTTAAATTGTTCTTCATAATACAATATACTATGATACCAGTTGTATTAGTCTACTTTTGTCTTTATATCCAGATCACATCGATGCATGCTTGAAAGTACATTTATTGTGCTGCACTTCTTTTAGCATCCAAAATGCTATAAAGCATTGAATAATGTCATGTTCGGATAGTGTTAACTATCTGTGGTATCGACCCGGGTCGTTCCAGTCCGACCTCCTCCCTCTGTTGTGTGGATACACCGGTATCTAGATAAGTGGCCACTAGGTCATACCTCAAACTGTGTCACATGCTTCTATCACTCAGGTACGAAAACAGTCGGTTCGTCATACAGTTCTCTCAGAGGGTGGTGTCAAGGTCATTTTTGTCGAAAATTTCCTTAACATCAATGTTATCCAGAATTTCCTACATTCGACCAATAACACAGTTCTACATACATAAAAAAATTAAATTTATAAATTATGTAGGATACTATTATGCTAAAATACATTCCCCCATTCTTTTACCATAAACTAATCCGGTACTCAATATCCATCTTCGGCTGTCGTTTTCCGAAACAAAAAAACTCTTGCTAATGATGTTTAGACCGATAAGAATAACACATTTTTGAACGTTATAACTCTAGATCAGTTCGTTTCCACACTTATTAACCGAACATTACATAATCTCTAATATGCATCAACAAACTTTGTAATTAGACCCTTCTGTACAGTTTGTCAACTGAACCTGTCTTATATACAATCCTATCTTGTCCTAAAAAATAACAAGATAATCTCGAAGTGTGAAATAAAACGTAATTCTATCTCAATATCGATGTGCAAAAAATGTACAAAGGCAAGATTAGTATGGATAATCCAAAAACATTACGAGGATAATAAGACCAGGTGATCCCGAATGGTGTTTGTCATCGAGTGACACCAGCAGAGTAAATCCAAACAAAGGTTTAAGTTTGTCTTAAATTTGAAGTTGATATGTAAATGGTGGCATCTTGTAATGTAGAAGCCCTTATAGTAGTCAGTCATAGAGTTGGCGTCAGTGTCGGTGTTCGAAAATCCAAATGTCTAATAGAAAATGATAAGATGAATTACCCAGCAGACCCTTAAATTATCTTCACAAGCTTAAAGTGTATTGGCCATACAGGCAAGTTTCTAGTTGTGTATCATATACTACTTGCACTTATCAATTATCGGGTACATTGGTGGAACGTTTGTAAAGCTACCTAATTAAGTCAATGAACAAAGTAACCGATAAGAGCAGCGCCTCGGTGATCATAACCTCCTCTGACACGAAGCAAACTAACCCGAAACGCATTAACAGCTTTAAAGAATGAAATACAATGCTCTGTGTTTCTTACTTAGAGGCGTTCTTAACAACAATTAACACGGTTCAATTTCTTAGAACATTCTTGAAGATATTATTAATTAAGATGAATGAAAATATTGCATTATAATAAGATCATTTTAAAATACATAAATGTTTGTTAAGCATTAAATACTGTATTTGGAGGACAAGACGCCCACTTTTGGTAACCGTTATCCATAGATTGCTGACGGACCGGAAGTAGGTCAGATTTAATATCCGGTAAGATTAGCATAAGAGTGTCTCACTTGCACCAATACTTCTACGTTCTGTCTTCAACTGCCACCCATGACTTTATTTTGATTTCGACTTGCATTAAATTGAATATAAACTGTATTAATTGTATACTTAGCATTATATAGGTTATTGCAAGGTATAATACATTACTCATGTTGGCCCGAATGGAAGCGTGTCGGTGGTCATACTGTTAGCCGGAGTACATTTTATCCGGGTATTCACTTTTTCCTCCACTTCAACAATCTGCAACGTCCTAATATGCCAATAGCTGTTAAAAGGACGTAACGAACGAACGAACAAACAAAATCAAACTTGTCGATAGACTGTAAAACAATACATAGCTAATACAAAGTTTCCTTATCGTTACACGAATTTTATTTCGGAAAGAGCTCAACACTAGAATTCATTAAGCCATTTGAGGGTTCATAGAATTAGGAAAAAATACAAAAGTTACAACGAAATAGTTATTCAAGATCAAATTCAATAAAATTAGGGCAAGACATGAACAAAGGAAAGATTTCCATGGAGCCATTTAAAGAGTACAAGGTGAATAACACCAGATGTTTCATGATGGTAAGCGTCTCTAGCTTCATCAGTGACACTCGCCATGTTTATCGAGGTCAAATCGAAGTAAAGGCACCACCTCGTAGCGAGAACTCGGCTTGTGACAACGAAATAAAAAGGCACATTAATGAACTTAATAAAAAAAAACATCGTCATATTTTCCTATGTGATCGTGATGGCAACCATACACGTGTTATAATCGTCATCGACCTGCATCTGTGGAAACCCTATGTTGTTACTGTAACATGTATTCAACTCATGCAACTCTTCATTATTAATACTATCAAAACATTAATTGTACAGCTACGATGGGTAAAGTAGCTTTGCTTTCTGGAAATCAATTTGCTTTTGCAAAGCTGAATACTGTAAAACTTATCCCTGCTTTCTTTTTCTTGCAGAAACGCAACATCCTGACAGATAAGAATAGATTGTGGCCATTTGGTGTTGTACCAGTAGTGTTCGACAAAAGCATAGGTAAGGATAAGACTGGGTCTATGGCATTAATACATCGTCAATCATGCCAAATCATAGGTCAGATTAACCTGGGTCTATGGCATAAGTACATCGACAATCATACCATATTATAGGTAAGATTAGACTGGGTCTATGGCATAAGTACATCGACAATCATACCCAATTATAGGTAGAGTTAGACTGGGTCAATGACATTAGAACATCGACAATCATACCCAGTTAAATGTAAAGTTGGACCGGGTCTACAACATAAGTACATCGACAATCATACCATATTATAGGTAAGATTAGACTGGGTCTATGGCATAAGTACATCGACAATCATACCCAATTTAAGGTAATATTAGACTTTGTCTACGACATTAGGACATCGACTTTCATACCCAATCATAGGTAAGGTTGTGTTGTGGTTGTAACAACAGAACACTGACAATACAACTATACTTAGGGTATGCTTAGTCTGCAAAAATAAGAGGAGGGGTGATCAACACTCAGGTTTAAGTCTATTAATAGATTGTCGATGTTTTACCTTTAAGATCGGTTCATATTTGATACCAAGGGAGATAACAAAAGCGAAAGGTACTATCTACCATGTAATGTCCCGAATTATTTGACAAATATACCGACGTGTGCTTTCCTTTGCTACCCAATAATTCCCAGAATCTTTGCCTGATAAGGAAATTAACTCTATCATACCGTATTAGATGTTGATATATATTGTGTATTATGTTATATTTTATTTTAATCCTGCTGACGACAAATCTTTCAGATGGATTCACATTGGAGAAAATTTTGGCATCAATGCAGGAGGTTCAGATGAGCACATTCAGTGCGTCCAGGTCTTGTCTGGCCTTCGTGCCAAGGAGCAATGAGGATAACTACGCCCTCTTCACGGTCGTCCCTGGGTAAGTAACAGGCTTATCCAATATTCATATCTTCTGACGTTTTTTTCTGTTAATTTTACATTCAGTCCTGCATTTGATCGATGTTCTTGATAGATGCACACTCAAATATCACATAATAAACCATAAAAGAAAGGGTACCAATCTTTTACATCTTGTGAGATAACATTCATAGCCAGTTGATACTGTAAGAGAACTTTATTTAGCGGACACTTATTTTAGCGTTTTATCGATTTTTTCCCCAGATTAGCCATTGATAAAATAGCGCATTCTCAATATATGCAATAGAAAACTCTATAGAGTAAGTTCAATAATCGCCAATATAAATTAATTATCTAAAGCACGTAAAGCACTAAAATTATGATACCACTAAAATATGTACGTTTACAGGAAGTGTATATGATATAGTCTGTATATTTTGTAGTGTGTCTGGTGACGGTGAGCCCGGAATGTCTGGCGGCGCTCAGACCATCCATTTGTACCCCAACATGGCCAAGGCTGATATTATGCAGCTCCTTGTCTACACCCTAGGCTTCTACAATGAGTTCCGTCGTCCTGACCGTGAAAATTACGTCACAGTCAACATGGACAACATTGCTGAGAGTACGTCTTTCTTTATAATACAACGTTCTTAATGATGGCGATATACTTATTTGTGCGAGAGATAATATCATTTATTCAAATACATGAATATTTAATAAGAATTAATTACAGAAAGAACGTACAGATGTACTTGAATACAACTTATATTGTTAAGAAAGTAATGTTCGCTAAAATTTTATAGATTTGACTTTTTCCCTCAAGAAAAAACGCAAGGCTTTGATAATTTGCGAAACAAAAATGAACTTATAAGACAATAAAGTGATTTTAACGTTTTGAAGTTATTGACAAAATCGCAATATTTGAATTCATGATCTCCCACGATCTACTGTTCTCAAAACGAAAATAGATAGCACGTGAAGCATAATACAATAATCAAAGTATCATAAGTTTTATGTACAAGTAGAATTGTTGCTGAAAGATTTACTCTTCAAAATTATGTAAATTTATAATTGTAGAATTGAAATTGATCATTTCTTTCCTCCTCTTATATATGGTATTACATTTGTTTATTTATTATTTTCGTCATTTTAAGAACCAGTTTTGTATGCTTGTTCTTTTTTCTTCCCTATTATAGAAGATCAAAAATACTTCAAGATCGGAAACACCACCACGTTTTACAACTACCCATTCGACTTTAAGTCAATCACCTTCTTCTATCCTTATGCCTACGCCAAGGACCCATCAAAGCCCACCATCCAGGCCAGATATGAGAGTCAGGTCTTCCCCTGGAAAGTCAGCCTCAGTAGCTTCGATGTTAGCAACCTCCAGAGGATCTACGAATGCGGCACCGGTAAGAAGTTACAAAGCAATTACTTTTCATAATTATTCGCCCAAAAAATAAAATAATTACAGATTTTGTATAATATATTTTAGCAATTTGACGTCATTGGCTTATTTCGTTTTTTCTACCTCTTTCGGGAATTTATAGGCATTTCTTTCTTTAAAATTTAGCGGTTGGTCTAAATTTTCTTTGTTTTCTATTTTCAGATACCAGCAACAGACTCGACCTTCTGTCAGGTAAAGATGATTAATTAATATTTTACAGGAAGCATTCACCTTTGTTTTAATTCGTATAATACCAGACGAAGAATAAGCATTTTTGTGAAAACAAACAAATTTTCAGCTCCTTGAAAACGATATGACTAATTGCGTCTTAATCGCGTGCCAATCTTCTGAGTTGTCGCTGCTGCAGCATACTCGAAATTTCGCGCAAATCTCTTTGAGTTCATAATTGTATCCAGCTATTCTTCTTGTATCATTCACAAGATAGCGTGACATATTCCAACGGTGCGGAGAACGAAAGAGAGCATAATCATTAGAAATTTCGTGGATACTGCCGCAGTGGAACTCCAGCTAAAAGTGCAACAAACATATCTTCAGCAACTTAATAAAGATTTACATAACTGCGAATGCCAATATGAGTGAAACAATTTAAAACTGGGATAGAAAATTACAATTTTTTATTTTTTTTATTTTTCAGGAATGATTTCAAAATGTACCTTCGAGTTTAACTTCTGTGACTGGGAACAAGATACCGCTGACGACTTTGACCTGGAGAGACACATGGGACAGTCATCAAGTGAAGAGACAGGACCCCAGGCTGACTTCAGCAGCGGAATCGGTAAGAACCCAGCCATCCATACCACAAGCCTTTGTACAGGGAGCATTCGGATTTCTGTATAGAACATTGTAGACATCTGTTAGATTCATAGAGAATACATAAAATAATCTGTTTGATCCCATCACATATACTTTGGGTAAGCTAGTTTCCACCCCGTTTAGGTTTAGAGATAAAGGCGACCCTTCAGGCACGGAAGGTCTTATTTTCTTTGTACTTTTTCAATGATCTCCATGTAAAGCTTCCCCGTGTTTATTTGTTGTCCTAGTTTAATCAATGTTTGGTTCGTATTACGGTTTTATTGGCATATCGATGGGTTTTTTGGGGGTTTTTTTCTTCTTGAAGGTTAATTTATTGACTGTGGTAAACATGTAATTTACTTCCGTGGACGGAACAGACATCATATATTAAAATTCAAATGTTCTTTTTTAAATCTTTATCTCTCTCCTCGCGTTATTTGAACTTAACAACTATATGTTTACTCATCTTACTAATTTATAATTCGAGGTTCTTATATACCGCTTGATCACATCCTAGTTCGTAGGTCAATGAGCAGATGATATGTTTGCAAAAACAAAAATGGCGTTTTTGGCATAGAGTTTACAACATTCGGTTTGCCTTTTATCAAGATTGCAGGAAAACTTAGAAACCTTTTAAAATACTGTTTGATTCGATCATTTATAAAAGTTGAAATGTAAGCTGGTATTGTTGATATATAACTGTATAATTTTACAGGTTACTACGCTCTGGCTGGAGCCAAGAACCACCACAACTCCGCAACCAGACTTATCAGCCCAGAACTACCGGCCGGAGATTATTGCATGCGATTCCATTACTACATGTACGGAAGTGACGTCAGGAAGGCAAGACTGGTCCGCAGAATGGGCGGAAATGATGAAGTCTTGGCAGAAATAGAAGGAAACCAAGGAAATCTGTGGCACAGATATAGTGAAACCATATCTAGTCCAGACAATTTTAAGGTGAGCATACAATTCAAATGATCAATTATCGTACATATATTTATATTTTCTAAAACATGACTGCTTGATGACAAACTCATTTGGGTCATATTGTTATATTTCCACAGTATGGTACTGAGTTGGTTTAAATAGCTCAATGCCACAGATATCAAAACCAATTTCAAATTGAAGTATTTTTCATTGCAATAGGACTGTTGTTATTATTTTACATTATTTTAATTATTTGATATCCAAAATATTTTTTAGTTGTCAATTAATTATTTCGTCTTATTTTTCTCTAGTTCGTACTCGAAGCTATGACCGGCGGAAGTGACCTCGGAGACATCGCCATTGATGACGTGTACATCCTCAGAGGAAAATGCCTTGTATAATTTAAACATTATTATTTTGCGGATTGTTTTTCTCATAGTGTGCATTGTGATGGAGTGATTCAGTTCATGTTCACCAGGTTGAATCGGAGTTGAAACATTCATATATGATTTTTCGAATTTTCTTAGACTATTCTATATATCTTTTTTATTCATCATTGAATTTCTTTAGGGCGTGTTTCTGTATGTCTGACTGATTTCATGCATCCGTACGGCTTGTCCATAGGTCTTTTTGTAAGGCTTCCTACAAAATATATAGGGGTACATTTGTGAAACCATCGTGTTTGTCTCGTTAGTTTCCGAATAAAGTATATGTTCGTTCACAAACGGTGTTATTGTTTTCATGTACCTGGAACATAATACTTCTGATAAGCTTCAAATTTTTGTTAAAGACACAAAATGTACCGAGTGTCTTTTACAATTTGAAAATAAACGTATGAGAGTAAGACGTACATGGTATACAACCATTACGAGTATTTGGACCTTTATATCCCGCAAAATATTATAAGTTCATCATTGGAATTCATTCTTCCTGTTTCCAAAATTCATTCTTCCTGTTTCCAAAATTCATTCTTCCTGTTTCCAAAATTCATTCTTCCTGTTTCCAATCGGGGAAATTAATACCATGAACTATGACGTCACATAGCATTGCTAATTGAATTTATGATAAGAAGATTGACCAATGAAATAGCGTCCAGGGTGTTACCCACAAGTGGGTAGCCGAAACGTTTACCAACTCTTAGCAGGTTTATCTAATTTATCTTATGCGTGGGAAGTAAAGAAACCTAAAGTGGCTGTGGGAGAAAATAAAATACACTTGTCACTATTTTAAAATATCCGAGTAAGTCATTTTCAAATACAGTATTCCATAAAAATTACACATTACGGTGCATTTTTACAGAATTATTGATGTTGGAAATGAATCTTTGAAAGTAAATAAAACGTCAGGGGTGGAGATCTACACATCATTAATGTTGCGAAGTGAGTTTGAGCGCACATCATCAGAATGAGTGTCTAAGCTATGGGCCGCAAAGCCAATTAAAAAATAACACTGAATAACACATGAATTGCACGGGGGGAGGGGGTACTTCAAGTCAGTTTTAGTTTTCGTTTTAAATTTGTTTAATCATATATTAATCTTGCGTTAAATCAATTTTGAGCTGTTGGACGAGGTTATTTACTATTAATTAATTAAGCGTCTGGGAGAACGTGCCAAAGCTATGCCGAAAGGATAGAAAATACAAACACTCCAAAACACCTGCCTGTTTCACCTAATTGATAAAATTCCTTCTCAAAGCAAGAGTAATCTCCCTTTGAGATTAATATGACGGCACAGACGTGTATCATTAGTTGGGCCCATAAAGTGATGGATGGTTTAGCACCGTATTTAATGATGTTTTAATATTTCGTTTCCTTCAAACGTATTTACAAAAACAGGGCAAAAACTCGATTTACGGAAAGAAATCTTACTTAAAGCTTCTTTTTTATCACCAAAAGGTTTCTTTATATATGACACTGGAGAGACCAAATTGATTTGCTGCCCCAATCGCGATATTTGATACTCTTTTATTCCTTTATCTATGGTTAATGAGGACTTATCGTCAAATTGATACATCGATTAAAATTCAATATGTGTATAGTGCAACAAAACAATAGAATCCATCACGATAACATGCTAATCCCAGCCTCCCAGGAGTCGTCATATAAACCATAGCAAAGCAGGTTTTCTCACCATCGTTACTATAAAAGTAGAGTTTCTCAAATTTTATTGTCTTTCAGCTTTTAAATATTAAACTAGTTTAATATACTTTACCTTGCAGTACCGTATTGTTTAATCAGACGATTTCGTTATGTTTGAAATATAGGCATTTTAGGTTGAAATGGAAAGAAACATTTTATATTTCTGCAGATGTAATGTCTATTTGCACGATGTTTGATTTGATAACGACTTGTTTCAATATTCAGATTACGAGAGGCTAATCAAAAATGTGTCAATTCTTTCAAATATTAAAAATCATGCAGTTTGAATTAATACCTTTGAAACCAAAACTCAAAAGTGTCTATGGAGAATCACATAACGTATTAAACACCGAGAATACTAACTAGGAAAAAAACTTGAGCATCTTAAACACATGTACCTCATTTAATTTACATTTATCAACTGAGAAGTCTATTTCAGAGTTATAGACCGTAATACTTACACTTTAGTGATACTAATTGTACTTTAAAACATTAATTCCTACATTTAGAAAACATTCTAATAAGGACTATATATAGTTTGGACCTTTTTTGGCCCCCAAATCAATCAAAATTAAAAATCTTCAATACAACTTTCAAATGACTATTTCTTTATTTTTGCATACTTCCCCGGTACTATTATGTAAACATTTATTTGTGTTTTCAATCATGGCTGCCATGGTAACCAATTAATATTTGCATAAATCATGAAATTTGAATATTCAAGCAATTTTGACAGGTTTTCGCTGAGCTACCATAGAGCGCACTCTTGAACAAACTGTATATTTCTCCTCAAGATGTACTACAGGTGCCTTCACATTATCCTTTGGTATCAAATTTGTTTAAGTATAATTATAAGCTTTATAGTTTCCTGGAGTAAACTATGCAAAATATGACAATGTTCACTGAATATTCAAATTTTTCAAAATGCAAATCCGAACTTGTTACCGTGGCAACAGTAATTAGAAATACAAATAGATATGTTCATGACAGTATTTGGGAAGTATTCTAAATTAAAGAAACAGTCGTTTGAAAGTTCATTTAAAGGTTTTGAATTTTGATGCATTTGGAGGCAAAAGCACGCCCAAACCATATATAGTCCTTTACCATACAATTTCCTTAAACTAAATTGTGCATCAGTTTTCTATAATTGATAGTTACTAATTGTGGCGTTGTTTGTTTAAACACTGCAGGGACACAGGGACCTTATAATTTGTTACAGCGGCCATTTCGTCTTTGCGTATTGCAGAGTTATCTTCTCTTGGGAGCAGGTATTGATTGTTACGTCACTTGTTTGTGAGAGTAACGTCATCAATTTTTGAGAAAACGATGTAATTTTCTCGCACAAACCAATGACGTAACAATCAATACCTGCTCCCAAGAGAAGATAACTCTGCAATACGCAAAGACGGAATATGTTGAACTAAAACAAAGGTGTTCAGAGTAATTTAACATGTTTTAAGGATTACTCTGTACACCTTAGTTTAGGTCCAAATATAGCTGTAACAATTTATCAGGTCCCTGTGTGCAGGGAGGCGATCTTGTGTATTCATAAAATACAACCCAGCGTTCACAGAGATGGATGACGTAGTACACATAAACAAAGTTAATTGCGTTCGAGTGCTGGATAAGGACAATACCGTTACACTAATCAGGCGATGAATATTGAATATTGATGGGAAACGTTTTCCTCGAGAATTGAAAAGTTATATTCCTATTCCTTTGTATTTTTCGTAACTTTATCTTCACATGTTCAGCGGTTCAATGATATACAGGAAACACCCGTCACATCTCGGCAGATTCCGTACCTACATCAAACAGGGAACCGGAATCAGCCGAGGTTAGTCGAATGATACAGGAAACACCCGTTACATCTCGGCAAATTCCGTACCAAATCAAACAGGGTACCGGAATCAGCCGAGGTTAGTCGAATGATACAGGAAACGAGATTAACAACTAACAGTAGATGTCATTTACAACAAATCACAGCATAATCATCGCATTCTTCCAGCAAGCATCAAATAATTTGTATATGTATGTAGAGGATATATTTAAACCATAGTAATACAGCTTTTTCCTTCATTGCTATAATGATATAGTTTCCCAAAATTACGATTTTGTTGTACACTTGATCTTGTAAAAAATTGGCTTCCTTTGACAATTTCGTTTTTGAAGTGTTTTTAAATATAGGAATTGAAGAAAAACAAGTAGTCATCTGTCTTCTTCCAGGGTTTTCGTTTCTATATAACACCCGTTGCTTTAATCAAACGACTAGACGGCGACATATGTTGTGCAATTCTTTAAAATATTAAACAATTAAATAGAATCAGTCGACTTTCACCATTAACTTTGTAACCTAACATTAACGTGAGCAGAATTGTTGTTCAACATTAGATACCAAAAATAAATACTGGAAAACTCCACTCTCGTTCATATAGTTCATATAGCGATGACGCCGATTGAAAGCTGTGGGCTTCTTATGGCGCGTTTGAATATATGTTGAAATACTCTAGTTTGTCATTATAACTGGAATATTTCCTTATCTATTCTGATTCTCTGTCTGTTCTACAGAGTCTTCGAAACAAAAATAAATTCGAAAAACCTTAACATTGTTACACAATATTACCTCAAAATGTCATATTACATTTTGCTGGGGACATGTGGGAATACCAGCTAATGAAAAGGCAGATCGCGCCGAGAAAGTAGTTCTATTGTTACCACCTGTTGATATTAAACTTCGTATTACTGATTTTAGACCACTTACAACCATTTTGTTAAGATCACAGTGGCATGAAATAAGAAACAATGTGTAGATAACAAATGACACTCTATTAAACCTTAAATTCGTGAATGGCATCCTAGCTACAGAGAAGGAGAGAGAGGCGCCGAGACGAGGTTGTCCTTACCCGTCTCCGGATGGGTCATTTGAACGCGAAAACCAGACTCAATGCATAGCGTGTCAAGAACTATTTACAGTAAAACACTTGCTATTATATTGCGTCGACCTTCAGTCAACTCGAGAACATGTATCTATAATAACCTAACATGTCTTAACTCTCTTTTCGAAAAAATATCAATATCTATACTTGTGAACTATCTGAAAGCTGTTGTATGTCTTTTAAATAAAATATGAGTCACCAAAGCCACTTTCGATAGTCAAGATGACGTCTACCTCTATCTTTACGTATGCTTGGTGATTTTATTTGGGGGTCATAACATTTCCGCAAGGGATGATTATTAAAGTTATTTCCATGAAATCGTTTAGTATTCCCTCAGGGTGGTTTGATTCCCCTGACGTCATTTGAAAAATACAATGAACTCTTAATGCTGTGATTTCTTGTGATTGGTTAATTATACAATTTCTACAAAACACTAATTTTGTTTAAAATTCCAACGAATGGTGTTACATGTAGCTACTCTAAGCTGGAAAACACAGGTTGAGCCAGTTTACGGAATTAGGAAGCAAATTAGAAATATATAAGAACAGAGGTTATAAATACGATTACGTAAAAATAGTACATGATAGCAGAGACATATATAGTGTATATTACATTATGTAATGTGTGTGTCTCTGATGATAGCTTATAAGT